ACTACAAAGTTTTCAGTTACAAAACAATAATGTACATCAGGTCAATCCCAACCAGCCCATCCACCCCATTCAGTGTACCACTAGATCCAGTTTGGCAGCAGAACCAAGATCTTGAAGCATGGGGAAGGATGAAACATTTAGTTAATCATAACGACACCTTTTAACTCTAACATTCCCGGGGAAGGGGGATGTTAGAATTTAATCATTCTTATACTTTTCTTATACCTTTAATCTTTCTTATACTTCCACCATTAAAAGGAAATCATATTTATCTTGGTGGCTAAAGGTTTTTCCTGTATAGTGTATAGTATAGTGTATACCATTATGTTGATGTGTTACATGCAGCTGCAGTTTGAGTCTTCTGATCATTCTTCATTCCTTCCATTCATTTTTTTTATCTCTCATGTCTCTGATCATGCATTATAAGTACTGTATTAACAGGAATTCATTCTTCTCTCTCCCCCTGATTTACTTATTCATAAATTTATATTCAACTACAATCTGTCTCTTATACAGTATAACTACCCCTCCTTGTCTGACAGCAGCTTATATGTCTAAATTGATATATCGATCATTCAATTGACAGATGGAATTTTGCTTGCTATGATCTTGTTCTTGTAGCTTTTTCTTCTTTATTTTATTTATCTAAATACTTCTAACCACACAATCAGATCAAGAGCAAGGTACAGTCACATTAAAATATATTTTAAATAATTTGGGCGAAATCCTATTGTAAAGAGATAGCCATGTAAGGGTAATCCCACAGGCAGTTTTTGTATTTCTTAGACTGAAAGGTGCACAACACTGATCACATTATTCATTGTGCAACCTGGTGAAGAATAATATGTGTGATGTATAGCTCAGAAACAGGTAATACTGCTTTTTCCATGGCCCTTAACATGATTGTGTTAAGGCAAGAGGATTCTGTGATTTGAACCAAAACATTCCAAAAACCACTTTAAAACAATTGCATAACTAATCGAAGGATTGAACTAGGATTCTAGATTCATACCCTTGGATGAATAGCTGCAGTTTAATTTGGAGTCAAAATAAAGGCAATGTTCGCAGCAGATGGCAGGGCTATTAGTAGGGTGCAGCAACCGAGGCTTTACCCCAGGGCACTGAAATTGAGGGGACATCAAAATCTAGGGGTGATTGTACTGGTGAGTGTTAAAGTATATCGTCTCATAGTGCTATAAGCATTGTCTGGGCAGTTTACAATTTAATTATGTGGGCTACATGTTAGGAGAATAAATAGCACCACTTTCCAGTCCTTCCTTCCTTCCTTCCTTCCTTGAGCGAGGCTGCGGAGGAAGGCTAGGGCTGCCCCCCCATGTGGCCCAAACCAAATGTATGTGCGGCCCAAACCAAATTTTCATCTTCTAATGTGGTCCAGGAAAGGTGAAAGGTTGGACACCCCTGGCTTAAAGCATTGTCTGGGCAGTTTATAATTTAATTATGTGGGCTACATGTTAGAAAAATAAATAGCACCACTTCCCAGTCCTTCCTTCCTTCCAGCCTGCCCGCCCGCCTGCCCCTCCGCCCGCCCGTCCATCCGTCCGTCCGTCTGTCTGTCTATGTATCTATCTAAAAGAATTACATTTCTCTTTCATTTGCAGGCACGCGACATTCTCCTCTTCCTTTTCAATGAGGGGTTACATCACTGCCTCAGGGCAGAATGAATGGGAGATGGTGCTGCTTGCCACAGATGCCAAAATTCCTCTTTCACTTGGGCCCCAAGGAGGAGGCATTTCCTACATGTGCTGCTATAGCAGAGAAAACCCGTCTTTCGAGACTGAAGGTTGCCTAACTAAGCTGCTATAGCAGAGAAAACCTTCTCCCATGTTTCCACATAATGTACTGTTCTCACTGGTGGGATATGAAGAAGCCCCCTCCCCAAAGCAGATCTTAATCATCTGGTACACATACAGTACATGGGGAGAGGCACTTCCACTAATATCTAAGTCTCAAGATATTTTAGAGCTTGAAAATAATCATCACCATGCCTGAACTCTGACTAGAAGCAGATTGGCAGCAGCCAGTACAATATGATGTCATGCTCAATCATATCAAACCCCACTGAGAGACCTAGTAATATCTTTCATAAGCAGGTCATCCATCAAAGCCACTGATAGTGTTTTCATCCCAGCCTGGCCTAAAACCAACCTTAAAAGAGTCTAGATAACTAATTTCCCCCAAGAAGATCTCAAAGAAGAAGCCACTAGTTGCCACACTCTCAGTCATCCTAAAGTGTGCTGTTTATATACCATCCCATAGCACTTAAAGCACTATCTGGGCTGTTTACCATTTAATTACGCAGGCTACACAACATTCCCATCTCCCCAAGAGAGCTGGGATATCTGCAGTGAGACAGGTTAAAACCTCTGGGTGCAGAAATGTCTTCAAGAAAGACTGACAAATTCTTCTTTCAATGTGGCAAGCACAAACCTCTCACCTAATGAAGCATTTTCTGATCAATCCTCCATCCGTGCACAGGTTTCTACCACTGTCAGCCTAAACCACAAAAGGTAATGGCCAGTCCATGATAAGTAGCGATGGGGAACTCCCAGGCTTCAGATCATCCTTTCTCTGTCCTATTGCAAAGAGCAAGTGCAGGGTATGATATGCTACATGCCCTGGGTCAGTGATGTACTGAGATAGTCCTTTTGATCGCAGAAAGTCTCAAGCAGCCTCCATAAAGACAGTTTCAAGAAAGTCTCAAGCAGCCTCCATAAAGACAGTCTCAAGATAATCTTAGAACTGCAGAGCCGGAAGGGGCCCTATGGATCACTGCGTCCATTTAGAACTGCAGAGCTGGAAGGGGCCCTATGGATCACTGCGTCCAGCCCCTGTCAAAGACGCACAAGTGGGGAATTGAACTCTACAGCCGGGTACCTAAACCACTGAGCTGTCCAGCACGTTGAAGTTCCCTAGAACCAAGAGCCCTGGGGTCCTGCAGCAGAACCTCCAAGACAATCTCAGTCGCCTTAGGCAGGGGCACTGTTGGGCAAGAGCTGGAAGGGGCCCTATGGATCACTGCGTCCAGCCCCTGTCAAAGACGCACAAGTGGGGAATTGAACTCTACAGCCGGGTACCTAAACCACTGAGCTGTCCAGCACGTTGAAGTTCCCTAGAACCAAGAGCCCTGGGGTCCTGCAGCAGAACCTCCAAGACAATCTCAGTCGCCTTAGGCAGGGGCACTGTTGGGCAGGAGGTTGAACAACACACTAGTAGCATATATGTTCTAGCTCTTTGCCGCAGCACAACACATGGGACCTCAGAACTGGTGCCAAGACAGATAAGTCTCCTTGTGAAAGTAAAGCAGAACAAAGCAAAGCAAACTGTGCTGCTTATTTACCACCCCATAGTGCTTAGAGCACTGTCTGGATAGTTTACAATTTAATCATGCAGGCAAGACATTGTCCTCTGTCCCATGAGCTGGGTACTCAGTTTACCGACCTTGGAAGGTTAGAAGGTTGAGTCAATCTCAAGTGGGCTATCTGAGTACAGGGTTGAACTCAGGTCATGAGCAGAATCTTAACTGGAGTACTGCAGTTTGACTACTGCATCATGAGTACACATACAAAAAATCTGTATGGATTATGGCAATCTCTTCCTGCCAGGTCTTCTATCTAGATTGTTGCTGCACAAAGTACTACAGTGGAAAAATTTGCATCAGATCAATTTCTCCTAACCCATCCACCCCATCCAGTGTACCACTGGATCCAAGGGCAGCTTGGCAGTACAACTAAGAGTTTGAAGCATGAGGAAGGATGAAGAAAGGGGGGTGGGAATAGTTTTCAGATACTCATTAAATCTTCTTCCTGGCATGTCAAACACCAATATCATATCTCCTTCTGCCCAAGGTCAACCTAATATTAGGTCCCCGGACACACTCCCTACCCACCAGCCTGGTCAAAATCTGTTTCATCCCTATGTTTCCTAGTCAGTTGGTCTGTGCCATTGAACCTTACTCCCTGGTATTTCATTCATGTTGGATATGTTTATGTGTCTCATCATAGAGTTATCTGCATCCCCTGTGCCATTATACAGTTTTTAGAAAACTATAGCAAAATAAGTACTGTAATAGGAATTTAACAAAAAATGTTAAACCTGTTTATTGGAAGCATTGTGCTGAAATTTAAAGCATTTATTCCCGTAAATGTGTCTACTTGGAGTGGAATATCTGCAGTAATTAACAAAGATGATGAGATACATTATATGAAAATGACCTTTTAATTTCCTTTAAAACTGAAATACTTCGGAAATTTGCCATTTTAAGAAATGGAAAATATTCCCTGCAGAAATTATGAAGGCAGAATTGTGCACACTTTATATTAGTTCTAATATCATCTTAGCCTCAGCTAGTTTTTTTTAAAAAAAAAATTACAAGCATAAGTCCCCCATGAATTCGTTTCTGCTCAAATGTGTTGTTAAATGGGTAGCTCAGAAGCCCTTTGCCAAAAACACTGGGGAGTTTCAGATCCTTCTTTCCCCAGATTCCTTCTTCTGGCAATTCAAAACAAAGTTATTATGTTTCCATTTTATCCCTGGGGAATATATAAAATGCCAACAACTCTCTCAAGGGATGGATTAGAAACACGACAAGTTGGGAAGCCCACTCTTTCTCAAAGTTGATTCTATTATATTTTTAACAAGGCCCAGAGAAAACAGATTATGATGACAGTTAATGAAGTTAGCTTCACGGCTAACTTCATTAACTGTCCCAGAAACATGGCCCACTATCCTAACCCTTGCTGTGTTGCACACCTACAAATCGGTCAGGGTAGGGCGCCTGGCCAAAGTCCAGGAAGGCACCTGAATCCGGGTGCCTCTTATTACGTCTGTTCAACTTCATAATAAAGTGTGGCTTTTAATTATTATGAAGATCAGCCAGAAGGCGGTAGCGTGAACGACGTACATCCAACGGCGCTGCCGGGTTCTCCGCTCCGCTCTCGTCGACCCTCTCCTAGCCCCACCCAAGTGAAAGCTAGCGTTTTCCCGCTGTTGCCACTACTTTAAATAAAAGTGGATCCAATGACACTTTGATCCCTAGTGGGAGAGGGATGTACTTCCGCAGATTTTTTTCCTTGCGGGGAGGGAAGGGGAAGGCGGCCGAGATAAGTTAGGCTGAAATCATCGGAGGAGCGGAGGCCTTCGCCTGCAAGGCGACTTATAGGCAACTTAGGGAAGAGCGCCGCCCGGCCCTCCAAAGGAGCCCCCGGGGCACCCCGATCAACGTTCAGCCGAAGGCGACAGCAGGCCGGCCGAAGAAACGCATCAAGGAAAAGGCTGCAGCTGTGGATCAGCTGCTGCTGCTGCTGCTGCTGCGAGGCAGGGGAGGAGTTTAAAGGGGATCAGGAAGCAACGGAGTGTCTAACACCTCTCGCCTGCTATGGCTGGCTAAAGAAGGGGGGGGCGGCGGCGGCGGGAGGAATCATCATAACCATAACAAGGGAAGGGGAGGCGGGGAGGAGGCAGTAGGAGAGCGAGAGAGCAAGCGAGGGGGGGTGGGTCGGTGGGGGAGCACCACCACGAGCACCGGCAGCATGAGAAGGCGAGCTGGCCTGGGGGGCAACATGAGGTCAATCGTGGGCTTCTTGTCCCAGAGGGGCTTGCAAGGAGACCCCTTGCTCACCCAGGACTTCCAGAGGAGACGCCTGCGAGGCTGCAGAAACCTCTACAAGAAGGATCTCCTGGGCCACTTCGGCTGTGTCAATGCCATTGAATTCTCCAACAATGGAGGCCAGTGGCTGGTCTCAGGTAATGCAACAACCCCCTCCCCCTTCTCGCCCTCCTCCCCTCAATTTTTATTTCTTCCACTCTTTTCTCTCTTCCCTTTCCCCCCCCCCTGCACCCCGCATCTCTGAGCCCGCATCGGGAGGAAACGGTAGCGGCTTTTCAGAGGCGTATTCACACATATACACGCGCCCACACCCCTGAGGTTTCCCAAAGAGAGATCTAAAATGGTTGACAGATTTTGGTAGGGGGAGGAAGATGATTTTGTCCGTCCTCCCGAAATCCTGTGATTGTGGCCTTATTCGCGGGGTCGGAAGTTTTCCTTTCGAGAGAACAGGGAGTGCTCTGCAGGGCTTTGTGGGTTGTGTTTATAAATTAATAGCTGAATAGATTCAGCGCTAGTATTGGGATGTGTCGGAAGTGTCTGGAAACAAAATGGATAAGAGACGTCGGAATCCCCGTGACATTTGATGAAGTAAGCGAGGAGGGACGCGACACCTCCTCCTGGAGATCGGGAGAGATTTCTGACTCTGGATTTAGATTCAAAACGTTGTTTACTCCGCTTAGGGGAAGCTGTGTGTGTGTGTGTGCCTTTGAAAAGAACCGAATGATCGAGGGAGGAGGGATCATTTGGGGAGCCCGTTGGGTTTTTTTTTTTTTAACTGCAGGAAGATGAGGGTGATTTTATTTTGCATGGTCTTTCGCATAGTGCCTTCTCAGAAAAAGGCATTTGTTCGTTTCACTCGGGGTCACTTGCTTTAATTGCAGTTGGAAGAAAGTGGTGGCGGGTTTAGACTCGACCCTTAATGGGGAGGGGAGGTTGTCAGGTGTCGGGGAAGCTATTGACGTTAGCCGCTACGACGGTGGGGATGATGGCGGGAGCTGCCCCTTTGGGAAGAGGCCGAGGACGGGTCTCTCGGCTTTGCGCCCCTCCTTCACTGCCATTCCTCAGCGGCTGAGGCTGGGGGCAAATTCCTCCAGGGCCACCCCCTCCCCCGCTGCTGTCTGAAGCCCCGCTCCCCGTTCCGAGGGGAAATGGCAAACGCCAGGCCGGGGCTTGAGTGGGAAGTGCAGGCCTCGCTCTCCTGGAGCTCCTCATAGCGACAGGCCGGGGAATCGATGGCCTATTCCGCCTGGGGAGGGGACGACCGGGCGACGCGAGGCGGGTACCTCGCACCGCCCGTTTTCGCCTTTGGTGACTGGCGGGAGGGAGTGGGTGACTCCCACCCACTATAAATTGGGTTTTTCCTCCGTGTGACTCTGGGTGGCTTGTATTGACAAATGTGACGTTGGAGGCAACGCTCGCATCTTCCTGTCACCGGGAAACACACTCCCTATATAAGGCAGTGTAGAGTCCAGGCACTCCATGATGATAGTCTGTCTGAAATAACTACCACTACCGGCTTTACAGTTTCTGTTCTACAATTTTGATTAGAATCGGCATTTCACCTACACATGTGCATTTGTCGTTTGCACTAGCAGTTAACTTTTGTTTACCACAGACTCCTTTAAGTATCTTTTGTTGCCACAGACCACCAACACTTAACTCAAGATTTAAAATCCTAAAGCGCATCAGATATTTGTTTAAAGTTTCTCGTGAAGGTTCTCATGGACAGATATTCATTGCTATAATGGCAACACTTTTTAAGATGCTTAGATTAGAAGCTTCATTTTGCTTCGAACAGAATACACTATAATCAATTGCATCAGTTCTTTTATATTTCAGATTCAGCCAGCAATCAATTCTGAGGCTCGGGCTTTTATATTTCAGATTCAGCCAGCAATCAGTTCTGAGGCTCAGGCAAAATGTATTGTTACAAAATTCACTGTGATAATATCGGAAAGTTATTTTATGTATTGTTACAAAATTCACTATGATAATATCGGAAAGTTATTTTACCCAACAATAACCAAATGTTTTAGCAGAAATCGAAGAAACACAGTCACAAAGTCCATTCAAACACTCACTCACACTGACTCCGACTCTCTTTCCCTGCTGCTTCTGACTGTTCAGTAGCAAGAAACGTCATGTGCTGTCTCTCAACCACTTGACGTCCTTCACTTGCATGTCCTTGCCATGTGCAGAAATATCAAACAGTTACGTATTTGTTATCAAACAGTTATTCTCATAACTAAGTTTTACTTTTTTGTTTTTAATGGAAGATGTAGGTTAAAAAAGCCACGTTTTACACAAACAAGCAAGAAAAATTAAGATTTTGTTCTAGTTTCCTTTTCCTCCTTGCTTTCTTCTTTTCATTCATTCTTCCTTTCTATTTTAACTGCAAAAGATCATAACATTTCTTCAAGGCTTTGTCAATCCCCAGTGAGGACACTGTAGCCCCTTGAGGGTCTCTGGACCACAGGTTAAGAAACTATGATGTACATCCATCTCAGTAGGTAGCCTACCAAAAAGGCATTGAAGCCTATTAAAATGCTAAGTAAACAGTGTTGAATAAACCGGGCTATGCATGCTATAAACCCTGTTAAGTGCACCCAGATATGCTTTACGTCCCTGTTTCTTTTCTGCATTGCTTGTTGCATCTAGCAAAGTAAGGCACTACTCCACAGCACACCCTGTGTGATAGATGACACAGTAAGGGTTCTGGGTAGCCCCTCCAGGTCATAACCATTTATGTTCTTAGTCTGTTGGCCCATTATTTAGGTACAGGGCAGGTAGGAAGGAGATCCCTCCTAATTTCTGAGAAGCATGAAAGATTCTACCCAAACTTCCACTCACTGTTTTGAAAGAGAGACCTTCTTTGATAGGTCTTGTCTCATTAAATTTGAGGATATCAAAGCGCTTTAAATGCCTTTTAATAGCAGTAGCCATACATCCCAGTTCTGGGGAAAAGGCAGCATATAAATATAATTACTTAACTGAAAAAATTCAGATCCCATCAGCATCATAAATCCAGGTTTAGAATTTTATTTGTGCTGATTTAAGTGAAACCCTAGACAGCTACAGATGTCTGTGATTTTTAGAAATAAGTAGTATTTTCAGCTCTTATGGAAGCGTGTGGAACTGGCATCACCCAGTTGATATAGGAAAGACGGAATAAATTTTTCACTATAATCTAGAATACAATGGGGTCCTTCAAAGTCTTGTTTCTGATTCCTAACTGGGAGGGAAATGTTAATGAAATTCTAATCATAAAAACAAATGTCGATGAAGGAGGCAATAATCTAAACTATCCCTAACCTTCTTTGTATTATTCTAAGACTACCTTATTAAACTAAATGCACAGAGTTGTGGTTAAGTAACTATTGGTTCCAGGAGCAGCATTTACAAGACTAAAGTGGATGTATTATATTACAAAGTATCAGTGAAAAGACAGATTGTGGGATTATGATTTGCCTGATTTTTAATACTTGATTCAGAACTTTATTCCATCTATGTGGATACCCAGTGTGCTGTGATGGACAGAGTATAGTGGGATTATGATTTGCCTGATTTTTAATAGTTGATTCAGAACTTTATTCCATGATACCCAGTGTGCTGTGATGGACAGAGTGTAGAACTAGGCCTCAGGAGGCCTGGGTTTAAATCTCTGCTGAGCCATGCAGACTCACTGGGGTGTGGAACTGGTAAAATGATTCCTTAAATATCGAACTTACCGTGGAAGCCCTATTAGGGTTGCTATAAGTTGGTTTCGACAACAACAACAGCAGCAGCAGCATGTTAATACGTTAGAAAGGACTGTCAGTAGGGTTGCTGTAAATTGGTTTCGACTTGATGGTAGACAACAACAGCAGCATGTTAATAAGTTAGAAAGGACTGTCAAAATGTTGTTGGAGGGCCAAAGTGTTAATAAATAAAGTCAGTATTTAACATAAAACAAACTAGTGACCTATGCAAACTTTGGACAACAGTTTGCACTATTTGAGTGTTGTAGACTTCAGAGACTTATAAAGTCAATATTTGTTTTCAATATGAATTTGAATTTACTTTATTGTCATTGTACTTCCGTATAACAAAATTAAAAACCATCTCCAGTACACATAATAATAAAACACACAACAGCATAGCATCCTTAACATGAAAACACAGCACATTACACATTAAATACATCCCTCTCATTCACACCCACATCCCTCACATTCAATTTCCCATCTCACAACACATTAATACTCGTATTGCACTATATAGTGGAATTCAATGTAGCTTCAGCTCTGGGATAGAAGCTGTTTTTCAACCTGTTTGTCTTTGTTTTAATTATCCTATACCACCTACCAGATGGTAGCAGTTGAAAGAGGGAATGGCCCGGGTGTGATGGATCTTTGAGAATATTTTGGGATTTCTTAAGACATCGGGAATTAAAGAGATCTTCCAAAGAGGGAAGAGGGCAGCCATGATCTTCTGGGCCATTGTAATAATCCTCTGGAGCGTTTTTCTATCTGCCATTGTACAGTTAGCAAACCATATACAAGAGCAATAGTGTAAAATACTCTCTGTGATACAGCAGTAGAAGGGTACCAGCAGTTTTCCATTCAGTTGTTGTTTCCTGAGAAGTCTCAGGTAATATAGTCTCTGCTGGGCCCTCTTAAACACTGCTGTGTAGGAGTGCCCCAGGACAGGTCCTCCTTGATGATGACACCCAGATACCTAAAACACAGAGCACAGGTTGCTGTCCTCTGGAGATTCCGGCCACAGAGACTGGCAAAACGTTAGGAAGAACAACCTTCAGAACATGGCCAAAGAGCCCGAAAAACCCAGAACAACCAAACTTAAAACTGGTTATCCATTCCACTTGCCCTCCACTTATAACCAAGGGCTGAATATCTGATTTATTTCTTCTGTAGTCTACTATACGCTCCTTGGTCTTCTTGATGTTGAGGGTTAAGTTGTTATCTTCACACCACGAGATGTTACATATTCAACAGTTGTCTTGAAAAATTTCCTGAGAGATGCTTCTGTCTATAGTAGCAGGCATGGATTCTTTTGCTGCCACTTTAGATCCTAAATAAATATGGAATTATGAAAGCTATTAAAAGTTTGTAAGAACTCTAGCAGCAAAAGAAGTCAT